CCAGTGTTCAGTCCAATCGCATAACATTACAGGTCCTCTTATTCCTCCAGCAGTGGTGAACTTTCCTCAGCACTCTCTTGTGAGTCCAGGGCTGAGCCTGGACACCCTGGGCTCACAGGAAGTGGTTTTACCCCCGTCACTGCAGTTGCCAGTCCGGAGATCCGCTGTGCCCGGTGCGGCCGGGACCGGCACGGCTGCTCTGTGACAGGAGATCAAAGGGAGATCGGTACCTGTCCTAGGGTGACAACCCTTACTCTTACCCTTAGTTAAATGACAGTGTTGTCACCCTTTCCTGTGTGCCCCCAACTTGGGCTTCAGATATCCATGCTGGCACACATTCTTGTGTGGTCACCACGGAGCATTTAAAGGAGAACTATGAGGTGAATGATTTTCACTCCTCCTCATAGTTCTAGCCGACCTGTGACAATGAGACTGTCACAGGTCGGCTCAGTAAAACAGGAAGTGAGAGAACACGTACCGCCGCTCGCTCACTTCTCGATCATGTCCCTGCAGAGAGCCGTGACTGCCACGCGCCTCTTCCCGCTGGGATTCCCCCCTCCCCGCTCCGATCCTCCAGCGCTGACTGGCGGAACGGACGAGGGAGGGGGCGGGTACTACTAGATAGGCAGAGCCAGCTGTCAATCACGCAGCTGGGTGGATCCAGACAGTAATGTCGGGATCCGTCCCGGCTGCGGCGTCTCAGTATACTGCGAGCTGTAGCTCCCTATTTACTGAGCCTAGGGTGACGGGAGGACGCTAGTTTGTGTCCTCCCGTGACCCCAAGGAGAACTATGGGGAAAAGCCCTGACCCCATAGTTCTCCTTTAAGAACCTGTGGCCCTTTTGATACTTATGGTGGGTCCCATGGGCCCCAGCAGCAGAAGCATCGATGTGTTAAGATTCTGTAATGTCAGTGATCTCTAGAAGTCTCCTATAACGTATCCTCAGTCTCTAACAATCTCCGGCTCTTATCTCCATGCATGCAGCTGGAAATCTTCACCACCGCATCACCTGTCTCTTCTCTTCTCCACAGAGCTGCATCATAAAGCGATACTGCGAAAAGAGATTTGTTCCCAAGTACCAGGCCACTATCGGGATCGATTACGGGGTCACAAAGTAAGTGGCTGACATTGGGGGGCCGTCTCTGCCTTCAGTCCTTGTATGTGGATTGATTTGGGGTTTTATCACATCGCATTCCGGAGTCACCTCGGAGCAGTAATACAATTCTCATGGTGGTCGCGGTGATGAGGTTTTGGGGTGAGATTAGGATGTGTGTCGGGGGGCAAAAGTTGAAAAAAAAACCACATCCGATACCTGAACATTTTCCTGTGTTTTATGCCTTTAACCCTTTCGCTGCCAAATGGGTTTTTTAGCACACATTATAACTCCCCATCGCAGGCCTGAAAATGACTTTCAACCACCGTTATATATATATTCTGAAAGCAGAGACTAGTGGTGACAGGTTAAAGGAGAACTATGAGGGGGGGTGCTTTTCACTCACCTCATAGTTCTAGCCGACCTGTGACAATGAGACTGTCACAGGTCGGCTCAGTAGATCGGGAGGTGAGCGAACACATACCGGCGCTCGCTCACTTCTCGATCCTGTCAAGGCTCTCTGCCGTGACGGGAGGGGCTGGATTTCCCCCTCCCCGCTCCGATCTGCCAGCGCTGACTGGCGGAACGGACGGGGGAGGGGGCAGGTAAAGCTGGCTATGCCTCTAGATAGGCAGAGCCAGCTGTCACTCACGCAGCTGGGCGGATCCAGACATAATTGTCGGGATCCGCTGCGGCGTCTCAGTATATAGGGAGCTGTAGCTTGCGGTATACTGAGCTTAGGGTGACGGGAGGACGCTAGTTTGTGTCCTCCCGTTACCCTAAGGAGAACTATGAGGAAAAACCTTAACCTCATAGTTCTCCTTGAGACCCCGTTCACATTGAGCGATTTATCGCGCGGTAATTCCCGCGATATCGCGGCAATTTACAGCGCGATATCGCTCTCCAATACTTCCCAATGGGGCAAAGGGTCCTGCTGTCGCGGGTCGTGTGTCGCTACAGCAGGACCCTTTTTGGAGCGGATTTAGACTTTTAGACCTTTTAGTGTCGCCTTTCCACTGCAAAGAAGCTATTGAAGTGCAGATGACAGCTGAGGGACCTGAAGTGATGCAATTAGTGCCGGCCCCATTCAGTGGGGTGGAGATTGGCGAACGGATGTTTGCTGGTCTCCTTCCCCGCTTCCCACCGACACGAGTGCCAGGCCCGCTGGAGGGGCAGCAGAGAAACAAGATGGGGTTGTCGTGCGTGGGCGCACTACACCGGCCCCTGGAAGCGATCTGGCTTCCAGTGTTAAGCCGACAGTTGGCTTTAGCACTGTGACACCATTCTCTGACCATCTCTAGCAGTGTGTCACCAGTCTCTGACCGTCTCTAGCAGTGTGTCCCCAGTCTCTGACCATCTCTAGCAGTGTGTCCCCAGTCTCTGACCGTCTCTAGCAGTGTGTCCCCTGTCTCTGACCATCTCTAGCAGTGTGTCACCCGTCTCTGACCATCTCTAGCAGTGTGTCACCAGTCTCTGACCATCTCTAGCAGTGTGTCACCAGTCTCTGACCGTCTCTAGCAGTGTGTCACCAGTCTCTGACCATCTCTAGCACTGTTTACAAGCTGGAAGATGAGGTCTGACCGTGAGTGCTCCTGTCCCCGTAGACATGCGGCCCCTGAGCGGTGTGACTTCAGCAGCAGAGACAAGTTCTTGGCAAAGCTCCGGCCATATTGAATGAGGTCGCTGTTTGCTGAAAACATTGTTACGTCCATGAATAACGGTTTTCTATGTAATTACTTTTGCAGCAAACTGAATGAACTGATCGAATGTTCTCTTTTTCAGAGTGCAAATCAGAGATCGAGAAATCAAGGTCAATATATTTGATATGGCCGGACACCCCTTCTTCTACGAGGTACGACTGGACACTGGCTTTCTGCCCCAAGTGTTGGGTGTGTTACTGCTCACGCAGCTGGGCGGATCCCGGCACAATTGTCAGGATCCGCTCCGGCTGCGGCGTCTCGGTATACCGCGAGCTGTAGCTCCCTATATACTGAGCTTAGGGTGACGGGAGGACGCTAGTTTGTGTCCTCCTGTTACCCTAAGGAGAACTATGGGGAAAAGACCTGACCCCATAGTTCTCCTTTAACACGTACCACCGACCTAAACATTGCCACTGACCAAGTCCCCCCCCCTTCATGGACACGGTATACCCTGATGGCAGTGGCCTCTTTCAGCAGGATAATGAGCCCTGCCACACTGCAAAAATGGTTGAAGAATGGTTTGGGGAACACAATGAGTTTGAGGTGATGACTTGGCCTCCAAATTCTCCAGATCTCAATCCAATCGATCATCTGTGGGATGTGCTGGAAAACCAAGTCCGATCCATGGAGGCCGATCACCTCACAACTTACAGGACTTTAAGGATCTGCTACTGACAGCTTGGTGCCAGATACCACAGCACACCTTCAGAGGTCTAGTGGGGTCCATGCCTGGACGCCTCTCAAAGACCAGGAGTTGAGGACCCTCAAGATCCTCAGATTAGTAAATGTGGGGTGGTTAGGAATATCCCCTGTTGGTAGCTGAAAAGTATGTGAGCCGTGTTCCCCAATGAAAATGGAATTCTGTTTGGCGGTTGGATTTCTAGGTCAGCAGCTTTTCATAGGGGCATCAAGTGTTGACTCCATGGAGAACTTCAGAGATGTTTGGGGAGATATTGGAGTGACTTTGCTCCTCTTGATAGATATGTATTTTCTGCAGCTCTCTGTTCCTCAGACTCTTACTCTCCTCCTCTCTGAACCCTTCTCAGGTACGTAACGAGTTCTATAAGGACACGCAGGGGGTGATCCTGGTGTATGACGTGGGCCTGAAAGAGTCCTTCGATAGCCTGGACGCCTGGCTGGCAGAGATGAAGCAGGAACTCGGCCCTCAGGGGAACATTGAGAACATCGTCTTCGCTGTCTGTGCCAACAAGGTAAGGATTACATACCATCAGTATGTTATAGCCGCGCTTCATGCACTGTATGGCCAAAGGTTTGTGGACTCCTGACCTTCAGGTTGTTGTTAAACATCCCATTTCAAAGCCATGGCTATTAATATGGAGTTGCCTCTCTTTCTGGCATGGTGTCTCTGTGTGGAGGTGGCCATCTTGGCACCGGCAGGGCTTTGCTTCCTCATGTCAAAGCTGCCTGCTGATGACTGGTGGGGTATTACCAAGTGGCAGCAGGAGAAGTATAGGAAGCACATAGCCACAGATGGAAAGAAGCAGAAGCAGGCAGATCCTTCCACTGCAGGTCTTCAGGTACAGCTTCCTCTCCAGCAAGGAGAACAGTGATTAGCACAGTGGTGAGGCCACCAAATCTCCTGAGACCAGCAGTCAGAGGCAGCAGGGATGATCTCGCACTGCAGATAAACAGCCGAGGTCATGAAGTGCTCTTTTTCAGGAGCAATGCAAAACAAAAGGTGGATTATTCTGGATAGAGCTTAGATACAATTCACATTTCTAGATGTTCCCTATATCGTATCAGATCTTCACTTCTTACCTTTCAGTCCACTTCACCAAATAAACCCGGATGATAGTGACACTCTTCTGATTAAACTTCAGTATTCAGTATTATTGTGCGCAACAAGAAGGCAAGAGAAAAAAAAAAAGCCTCAGCGTTTCCGGGGTCAGAATTACCCCATCGGGGCTGAAGAAAAAAAGCCTCAGCGTTTCCGGGGTCATAATTACCCCATTGGGGCTGAAGAAAAAAGCCTCAGCGTTTCCGGGGTCAGGATTATACCATCGGGGCTGAAGAAAAAAAGCCTCAGCGTTTCTGGGGTCAGGATTACCCCATCGGGGCTGAAGAAAAAAAGCCTCAGCGTTTCCAGGGTCAGGATTATCCCATTGGGGCTGAAGAAAAAAGCCTCAGCGTTTCCAGGGTCAGGATTACCCCATCGGGGCTGAAGAAAAAAGCCTCAGCGTTTCCAGGGTCAGGATTACCCCATCGGGGCTGAAGAAAAAAGCCTCAGCGTTTCCAGGGTCATAATTACCCCATCGGGGCTGAAGAAAAAAAGCCTCAGCGTTTCCAGGGTCAGGATTACCCCATTGGGGCTAAAGATAAAAAAAAACTAAAATACTGCGAAGTACAGAACTTCGTATGAAACGATATAATCGTCTACTTGTGTTTTGCATGTCATGTGTTCTATAAAAAAAAAAAACTTGCAAAAATTATATTGGTAATCGCACAAAATGTAATGAGATGAAAACTATATCGCGCTATAAAAAGTATAAGAAATAAAGAATAAAAAAAAAAAAATAATAATCTAGATTTTTCTGATGTACGTCATAATAAATGGTTGAGGTGTTCCAGTAATATTCCAGTTTTAATAAAACAATAAGTGATTAGCGCCAGTAAATAAATATAAATAAGAGCTACTAGGCACTCTAGATAAATAAAAAAAATATCTAAAAGGATGTAAGACAATCATGTGCCGAGCTAAATAAGTACAATTCAGTGAAATATGTGATGAACAATTAAATATAGGAGTATATGCTTTAAAAAATATATACAGAAAAGCATAGCAAAACGTCACAATATGTGAACAGAGTGAAAAACACAAAGTCCAATGTGCAGCAATAGAAATCGTGCAAATAAATGCCGGGGATAGTCCACCACTTCCAAGTGAGCAGTTGCCACAAGAATCCTGACAGACTTTCACCTCCACCCAGTGAGTGCAGAATTGGAACAGAGCTCACCCGGGGAGATAGACCCACAGAACTAGGTCTAAAAGCGCGTATCCCTGCTTAAAGGAGAACTATGGGGTCGGGGCTTTTCCCCATAGTTCTCCTTAGGGTAACGGGAGGACACAAACTAGCGTCCTCCCGTCACCCTAAGCTCAGTATATAGGGAGCTACAGCTAACTGGGGGGGGGTAGCCCAGTTAGGTGTGTGTGTGTGTGTGTATGTAAAGTAATCCGGTCTTCCCCCACACTGCAAAGGTTGATTCCTCGGTTTGTCTATATGTGTGTGTATCCAAGTCTGCTCCTGAAGTAAAGCTCTATCTGTCCCAGTGAGATGATGTGTAATACGTTGGGGTTTATAGATTTTAATGATTCTGCGCTGGACCTATAAAGATGTATAAGTGCTAAAAGTGCAAATTTAATTTGAAGGCTGCAGCAAAACGACCGTTAGGTCAAAACATTAAACTTTCAAATTATGCAGCGCCCGCAACATATAACGTGTTAATATCATAAACCATGAAATCAAATAAATATATGTGACTCAAATGTATAAACTATAATCGTATAATACACACATGAATGTTAGTGACTTAAAGTCTTTCTAAAAAACCATCATTGGCCCTGGATCATTGATCCCACAGGGTATGTGAACCAATTGTTATTAGTGACAACCACCGTATAAATTGTTGAATGATGTGATGTGTCAAATCCAAAGAGGACTGTTCAAAAAGTATTCGAAAAAGTATTCAAAAAAGGTGTTCAAAAGAAGTTCCGTGAACTATGTTGGGGATAGGGGTTAATACCACATATATCCCCTCAAAAGGTGCACTCACCGTGAGGTAGTGGCTGTGATAAGCAGCCGGAAACACTCAGACAGAAGCTCTCAGGACCGCAGCATCGATCCACCGTCTCGCTATGGTCTTCAATAAAGGATGTGTCTCCACGTTTATGGAAGAAAGAAGCCTGAACCAAAGCCACATCAGATAAGACCAAGATTTAACAATACATTTCAAAAATGTCCCCTCTAATAACACAATTTAGAGTAGCGTTTCCTGCACACATACATATCAATCTGTATTTGAGTATTGAGGCTGTTTACAAGCTGGAAGATGAGGTCTGACAGTGAGTGCTCCTGTCCCCGTAGACATGCGGCCCCTGAGCGGTGTGACTTCAGCAGCAGAGACAAGTTCTTGGCACTACCTCACGGTGAGTGCACCTTTTGAGGGGATATATGTGGTATTAACCCCTATCCCCAACATAGTTCACGGAACTTCTTTTGAACACCTTTTTTGAATACTTTTTCGAATACTTTTTGAACAGTCCTCTTTGGATTTGACACATCACATCATTCAACAATTTATACGGTGGTTGTCACTAATAACAATTGGTTCACATACCCTGTGGGATCAATGATCCAGGGCCAATGATGGTTTTTTAGAAAGACTTTAAGTCACTAACATTCATGTGTGTATTATACGATTATAGTTTATACATTTGAGTCACATATATTTATTTGATTTCATGGTTTATGATATTAACACGTTATATGTTGCGGGCGCTGCATAATTTGAAAGTTTAATACGTTGGGGTTGGCTATAACATGCGGAGACATTGCCAAAATGGGGAAAAAAAACTTGATGGGGTCCAGGGGGGGCAAAGGGCCCGGGGACTGGAGTGTTTGGGTGGTTTGGGAGCAGATGCAATGGTTGGGTATCAGGTGTGTAAGTCTACGAGTACATTAGCTGTCTGCTTCTTCCAGATTGACTGCGCCAAGCACCGCTGCGTGGACGAGAGCGAGGGTCGGCTCTGGGCTGAGAGTCGCGGCTTTTTGTACTTCGAGACCTCCGCACAGAGCGGCGAGGGCATCAACGAGATGTTCCAGGTACCATCTGCAATGTGATTTTTTTTAATTTTTTTTTTTTCCTTTTTTCTTTTCTACATGAAGGAGCCTCTCCAGCTTAAAGTTTAAAGGGGAATTTATCAAAACTGGAGCAGTTGCCCGAGGCAACCAATCAGCATCTTTCTTCATTTTGCTTAGTTGAGAT